AGTCTATTCCTTGAGCTCTCCAGTGTGTCTTCACCCCATGACTCGACCTGTATGGTAGGCCTCAACTTGCTAAGGACCATAGCTCTAAGAGACCCCCGATCCTCCCGTATCCATAGTGTCAGCCGAGTCACCAGTATTATCCGGCTGAGTCGTGGTCAAAGGGTTGTCCAACCTATATTCTCCTATGCTGTCATTGGTCCCTTTTCCTGTGGGTGTGTCCGAGTGTGATTCATCATTCTCTGTATTCCATTCCTCTTGATCCTCCTCCATTTCTTCTTCAAAGTACACATCTCTAAAGAAGTTGTGCATATCAACAGCCCAGGCCCTGGATTCTAAGTCCCTGTCCCCCTCAAATGTGCCGCTGCTGATAAGTTTTGCTAGGGATGCTGCTTGCAGCTCCGCAGGGATGGCCACCACCGTACTCCAAGGTCGCCATCTCATCCCTCCTTTCAGTTTCGTGCCTTCAGGCATCTTTGCAATGAGGGGAGTGAAAGATCTTGGGGATCTGGGGTCCGGCTGGTCCTTGTGAGGGTCATTTGACCCTGGTTGATCATCAGTTAACTGCTGGTCCTTGCTGTGGTGCTGGCTGTAGTTCCTCCTCCTGCTGAACCATCTGAGATTTTATCTCAAATACCCCTAGGGGGTAAACCGCTGCTATCTTGTCTTGTAGAATGGAGGCGACATTTTGGCCTTCTTCAATCCTGGGGATCGCAAAGGCCACATCTGTGGCAACCTGCCATTCCCTTCTTCGATCCAAGGGATCGCAAAGACCACATCTGTGGCAACCTGCCATTCCTTTCTTTCTTTCTTTCTTTCTTTCTTTCTTTCTCTCTCTCTCTCTTTTTTCTTTTTTTTCTTTTTTTTTTTCCTTTTTTTTCTTTTTTTTCGTTTTTTTCGTTTTTTTCGTTTTTTTCGTTTTTTTCGTTTTTTTCGTTTTTTTCGTTTTTTTCGTTTTTTCCGTTTTTTTCGTTTTTTTTGTTTTTTTTTCAAAAACAGTTGCAGTTTTATTATATAAAAATCCATGAGGCCAGGAATTCCTCGACATCTCAACCCAGACAGAGTTGGGGCCATCACCCAGATTTGGCTCGAGCTGGAAACCAGGTCCAGTGTCCGCTTATCTGCAACTTCAACAAAAAGGAATCTGGACTAAGAAATGGAAAACAGAATAAAGGAACAACTCAGGTACTGAAACCCCAGAGGTAAAATGTTGCATATTGGTGAAACACAGTCATAAGTATGGCACAGATACCGACCAGATAATGCAGAGTAAATACAAATACAGATACAGCGGAAGACTTGAGATACATGGAATGACTCGGACCTGACTCAGACTGCAACTAAACACTCACCAACATACATCGGGGTGTGAAGCCCTGGCCTTGGACATAGAAGAAAAGGCCGAGGCAATTCTCATGCACGGATGAATGGAGGGAA